CTACTGCTACTGCTACTGCTACTGCTACTGCTACTGCTACTGCTACTGCTACTGCTACTGCTACTGCCACTACTACTCCTATGTTGAAAAATCTTCGGGTGGAATGAGCCAGAGTAGATTGAACAAGCCGGCCCAAAGAAAAAGAGCCGGGCCAAGCGAAAATTGTCATTTGAAACCTTGCCTGCTGATTGGTGGACACACCAACTTGACCAGCAAGAACCATGGGTTGGACAGGTCAGCCTGCAAAACGTCCTTCAAAAAGGCCAGCTCTTGTGATAGGACAAGGAAAGGTTGGCGGGACCGTCTAATCCAACCAAATGTCCAGGCAACCTAATCTGTCCAGGTGAACGACGGAACTTAGAGTACTCGCAGGAGGTCTCACAACAATCTCAGTGCGATCGATGCCTAAGCACACAGCATGTTCTTACAGTAGTTCGTCAATCCAACTGCTAGGGTCTGCGCCTAAACATTCCGCAATTATGATGTGAGCTCTGCAGCTTTCGTGCGCAGGTACCTTCGCGCTGCTCCTTTACAGACATGAACTAAGGCGCAAACCTACCGCGCCTGAGTCATCTGCGCACGTCTGGAGCACGTGACACACACTTTGTTCTCACTGGAAGTTGATCCGTTGGTTGCGTGGGGTGTGTGTGTGTGTGTGTAAACCGTTAACACAAGCGGATGATCTCTTGAGTGCTGCGTGACCAGTTAGCTCTGTTTTCATGGATAGCAGGGGGGCGGGTCACCGCTGATATTGCCCGTCCAACGAAGAGGGTATCAGCTGGCGTTGATGCAGTGGGGAGCGCTCCACTGTGCACCTGCATTTGGAAGACTGATTGAACTTCTCACGCAGTGACTTCAACTGTCCCGGCTGTCGCAGGTTCATCGGTTTATTTTTTGTATTCAGCGACGGGTCGCCTTCACACGCGTTTATTGGAGGTTGTGGACTTAGTAGGTTCTGGGCTTTGACACCTTTCCACAGTTCCACTCAATAACTCTTCCCAGTGTGAATGGGGTGGCCCTGAAGATGTCAGGGGCCTTCCCCGTTAGAGTCAAGATGAAACCCTTTTCAGGCTTCATCGAACCCAGATTACCCGACGGGGTGATGCAAGCTGCCATCGAGCACAGGCTCCCGGTTCTTGTGAGCCGTTGCAGAGCTTGCTTCGAGCGCAGTTGCCGATGGCGAAGTTAGCTAAGGAGGGCGAAGTTCCTTCGGGAGAATTTGCCCCCCAGTTAGCTCCTGCAGGAAACTACGTGTGGGGTTGCCCACTGTCCTGGCCCTGTGACTGTTAATTGCCTTGATGGGATTTGAGGAAACCCATCCTTTTCTAGGCTTGACTCTCAAACGTGGCACGTTCTGAGCTGTGGCTAGATTCTTGAACTGTAGTCATTGCACTTTTCAGCGCCAGTCATATTATTCCTGACTCTGCATTCCTTTGGTTACGGCTCTAGCTTGGCCGCTTGGCCATTCAACATGAATGAAGTAACGCGAGTGAGTTGACTGACTTTTGACATGGTTTGCTACATGTTACTTGACGCAACGTCTTCTTCTGTTCTTTTCTCTTCCCGTTTACTTGTTACATCATCTTTCATTGTTACTTGTACTTGACGCATTAGCTTCTCAACTTCTTTACTTTACCTTAGTTCATCCGAGCAAGCATGTCCACGCCGGGAGCTTGCCCAAAATCACATCCTCCAAGGCCTTCTTGGGCCCTGGATCAATGGGTCTCTTCACCAGTTCCTCTCACAGCAGTGACCCCTCTGGTTCGTGATGTAGCCCACAAACCCATCGCACTGGTGGCTTCATTGACCCCGGAATTTCGTCGGCGCCTCCGTGACCTCGAAAAATGACCCACTCGCAGTCGACATCTAGCAATTCACAAGTGCGGCCTGATTGCTGCCGGACAATTCTGCAGGACGGCATTGCACAACCCAATTCTTACGACCCTGCTCAAAGTTGGATCCCCTCCAACGGGTACTATTGCAGGCGAGCCCGTGGTCACATTCAATGATCGAGGTGTCCACGCAGCAAGCACTTCCTTCCGTTCTAACCAAGGCAGCTCGCTATACGCCGACTGTACACACAGCCATGAATTACAAGACCCCGGCAGGCCCATTGCCATTCTACTGCAAGCTCATTCCCGCCAGAGTTGCAGGGAGGGCGTGTTGCAGACTTTGTGGCGTCCCAATTTTTTGCTGTCCGCAATGTTCGTGACAAGCGATGGATCTTTCGATGTCACCTCAGCCAGATTTTTTGCTCATGGCCGCCATACCAGCATAGGAGTTGCCCGCGTTGAGACTTCCAGACATGTGCACTCATTTCGGCTGTCGTTGTCTCCATCAGAGACTGTTTACAGCGTACAGATAAGAGCTTCAGTCTAAAAGGTCTCCTTTCCTTTGCTTCCTGTGAGAACTTGGGCAACATTGAAACGCCTCTGGCATGTCGATGGCACACATTTGGATCACCTTGAATTTCTTTCCCATTTTCTTGGCTCACAGCTACACTTGACTAACGCACACCTTTTGGGGCATGTTCTCTCTTTCTGATCTTGACTGACATCATAGCACCTTTGACTTTTCCTAGCCCATACTCCGTCTGCGCTTACCTTAAACTTAACCTGCAAGTGAATTCGCTTTGATTCCCAGACAGCGGCTTGATCCAGCAGTTCAACCATGTCACGCAGACGCACGCGCCCAGACGAACACGCTTGGCCCCCCAGGAAGGTTCCTACTCCAGAATCCGCAGCAACCCCACACTGCACTCTGAGGCTTGTACGGAATCTGCCGTTTCTGCATCTGCATGGTTCATTGTAAGATTGTTCCCAGTCGACTGCGTACTGATGACTCTCCAGTTCCCACACTATTGCGGCCCGCAGTGATCAATTCCCCACAAAGAAAGTCCCCCCTGCATCTATGTAGCGAACCGCTTAGGTCAGACGCGTTTTGTCAAATAGCGGTGAGAAACAACACGTCCTGATCCACCTACTCAACGTCATCAAAAGAACGAGCCTTCTTCGTTTGTTTTCACAGGCTTAAACTGCGGCGCTGAGGAAAATCATGCTCACATGTACATAATGATGTTGTTTTCTTTTTCTTTTTGTTGTCCCTTGCCCACTTTTCAAGCTTGTATGTTTTCCATTTGTCCTCCCTTGCATGGATATGTGGCTCCAGTTTGATTCTACCACGCATGTCGACCCCGAGCAGTCGTTGTTGGTGTTATAGTCTTAGTCATGGCCGATTCTCGAACTCGTTCACGATCCCGATATCACTCTCGTAGCGGTGGACGTGGCATTCGAGATCGCAGACCTCTACCAGGTCACAATCGTAGCCACCTTGATCGTCATCGCAGGTCTTATCGCCATCGGGCCCGCGAACAGTCTCGCACACCCAAGGCTTCAGACCCAACAGGTCGGGCAAACACACTCACCATTCCCAATAAATGGCATGGTGATGACTACTTTGACACGCAGAAGGAGTATGGTCTCAAATTTCCACGTCATGTGGAATCCACTCAATACAGTCGACGAGTCAATCTAGCGGGTCGAGATGTTCGTCTCTATGAAGTGTTGGGCACGGCTCTACCAATTGGGGCCTTGCGGTTGGTTGCTGGCGGTCGTTTTGTGACCTTTGAAGCTTTTCGTACTCGTGTAATGCTACCTTTGCCTCTCTGATCTGCTGTGAGATGTTTAAAGATGATCGGTTTGATTTCAGTGCTCTGGTCAACCATCATATTGACTTCCACTCACCCTCATGCCCGAAGACCCCAACAAGGACATCCTTGTTCGTTTGGAGGCTTTGCTCGCTGAAAATTGCTACCCTCATGGACGGCCCTCACGCATCACCCGCTGATTCTCCAAGTCGAACAACTGGTGGGTTGCATCGTCATGTCAGACCACGTGCCCAGCCTCCATGCAAAGCGATTGAGCCGCCCCCTCCGACACCTCCTGCTGTGATCACCAAGTGCACTCGGGGTACTCGCAGACCACTTCTTGCCAATAATCATCCTGATGCAGGAACCGGTACCAAGATGAATGCATGGTCACAAGAATGCGTCTAAGGCCAGCATGGCCTCGTTTGTCACCAGTTTGCACCACCCAGGCCCTGACACACTCGTACCTCTCAGGATCAGACATGTCCGCCCTATTAAGGATCAGAAATGCCCGTCCTACTAAGGAACCAGCGTCGGTCACTTCAGCTCCTTCCGAAAAACCTTTTGTCAGGGTGTCCGTGCCTTCAACACAACCTCAGGGCGTCGAGAGAGGAATACTTGTCCAGGAACGTCGATTCGATCTCACTTCGGTAACCCATGAGGTTCATGTCTCTAAGCCCTCCAGAGGGAGGGCCGTGTGTGTGTGCGCAAGCCGCTATCACAAGCGGATGATTTCTTGAATGCTGCATGACCAGTTACCTCTGTTTTCATTGATAGGGGGAACGGGTCACCGCTGATACTGCCTGTCCAAGGAAGGTATCAGTTGGTGCTGATGCAGTGGGGGACGCTCCGCACTGTGTATCTGCATTTGGAACACTGATTGAACTTCTCAAGCTGTGACTTCAAGGTTGATCAGGTTGGTTCCTTGTATTCAGTGACGGTGTCGCCTTCACACACGTTTATTGGAGGTTGTGGACTTAGGAGGTTCTGGGCTTTGACACCTTTCCACAGTTCCACTCAATAACTCTTCCCAGTGTGTGTGACAGCATTTGACCACCTTCTCCTGTTTTGGTTTCACGAGGGTCTTTCATCTTGGCAGTTCACTCTGCATCACGCCAAAGGTCTGATGCCTGCAGATGCCTGCAGATGCCTGCAGTGCAGGTGTTCAGTGGCACTTGCAAAACAGTTAAACAGTCAAGCCCAGTATCACAATAAATGACATCCTTTTGGCACAGATTGAATGCACCAGATTCTCCAATTCTTAACACCCGTGCCATTTGCAGTCAGGGCATCAGTGGCCCCAAAACCAGACTTGTTTGAAGCTGAATTTACACCGTGTCTCCGAGCAACGCCTGGGAGCTGCGGCTCATCGCAGCAGCTTGGCACAAAGCTCTGGGAGTGCACTTGGGTGGTACTCCTTAGCAAGCAGCAAGAAGACAGAAGAACACATAACCTGTTTTGCATGCAACAGCCCAACCACTGCCGCCTCTCTGCAAGTTGATGAAGAGGCGGATTGTTTACCCGGCAATGTCAGTGTGGCATAGATGGAAAAATATCATGTACGATATGCGTACGCATTCGATTTGCTAACTCGCACGGAGAGCAGTGCATAAAATTAAATGCCTTCACGAACCTGTCGCTCTTGAGTTTGCATCTACATGGCTCTGCTATCCGCTGCGGCCACGGCACAGGCGGACGCTGTTGTCCATGGCTCTGATCGCAAGACAAAACAGCACGAAGCCAGCGTTCCTTGAGATGTGATGGTCACTGAGTTACTAGGGGGGTTGGGAACCGAAATATGGTTGTTCGATAAATAACTGTAGATATTGTATATTGTAACAAACATAGTCACGGTTAAAATTGATGGTAGGGATCTTGATCTGATTTAGGAAAGGGACGATCTTGACATCATGAGGCGCGAAATGATGGTGTGCTTCTCAAGTGAGTACTTTGGAGCGTGCACCCATAGTGTCCATGTGCATGGATGTCTTACTGTAATTCTCCTTCTGTTGGGAGACAAGGCAAAAGAAACTAAGGCGCTGCTCAGAAAAATGAATGGTCTTGCACTGTTGCTGCAACTCAGATTATCCAAGCCGCTTGCAAGTGATCCACTGAGTCAAGCACAGATTCACCCGCACAAACCACACCCACCAAATGGGAGGTGTTTGGTCGGATTTACTCATTTTCTAGGGCTGCTGCAAAGGCCCGCAACATCAAACGTCCCTGGTACTTAAACGCCTGGTAGCAAGACTGTGAGCCAACAAATGGATCTCTTGCCTCTTGTGCATCATTCATGTCGCGTCGTGGAGATATGTCCTGCAAAGGCCAAGGTTCTGGAATGCCCTCAATTCCATAGGCAGCGCCCAGCAGGCTGCCCACAATGCCAGCCGTGCTGCCTGAAAAAAAACAGGGATCCAACACACCTCCTAAGTCTCAAGACGAGTTCATTCCCTAAGCCCGAACTGGCTGAGTTCAACATGAGTCTCTCCGTTCTCAAGCACCAGCACTAGAACTTTTATTTATGTCAAGTAATTACAGTCTTTGCATGTTCCTTTTGTTTGTGTTCTTTCGACCTTTGTTCTCTTCATTTCAAACATCTTTTACAGCTCTGGTGTTCAAGCTCCCAGCTGGAGTCGCCACCACCAGCGAGGACATTGCGCATTGCATCCTCAAAACAACTCTTCACAAGTAGCTGCATTCTATGTGCTAGCCAGGCAAAAGTCCTATCTCCTTGGCTCATGCCGTTTCATGTCGGCTCCGCGTGCACTACAATTGATAAGTTAAGTGTTGTCCAGAAAACTCACTATGACTATTCATGAAGGTAGCCCGAAACCAGTTCATGTGACCTAATGTTTGAATGAAAGTTGTGTCAATGACACCAATACAGAATGTATAACAATGTAGAAAAGAACGGGGCTGGCTTCGCTGAGATCTGATTTGTCTTTTCAACTGCTGTTCAATTGTGTCCAAATTGAGTCTTGTTGAACTCCATCTGCAAGGATGGTCTGCCAGGTTCCTCGAAGGAACTCTTGCTGTGGAGGTGTCTGAAGGCGTGGCAAAACCTGATGCTTTGCAGCATGGAAGGGTTACTTTCTGGTCAGGGGACAGGCTGTTTACTGCGCCGACTTCATGGAAAATAAACTGGTTGAAACAATGCTATCCACTTCGTCCAGCAAGAACTGCTAATTTGGCAGGATGTTTATATGATTGAACCTAACTGGGACAAAAATAATATGACCAAAACACATGCTTTCATTGGTCTTTGTCAATGTCCACCTTCCACTCCCCTCCCAGCAACAGAGAAGCATGAGGATTCTAGCGGTTGATAGCCTTTGTGTAGAAACAACTTATCCATGCAAGATCCGCCTTAATGAGCTTCGCTGTTGAGCTAGCATGAACACGGAAAAGTTCTGCAATCGCCAAGGGGCGGAATCTCTACATTGCCTACCTCATGGTTCAGCAGCGAGCTCGCCTCACAAGCACAATGAGCTCATGACCAAATCTGAAACGGATGCTCACGTAGACTCTGGTCCAAATTTTCAGGGAAAAAGGATTCCCTCTCGCTTTCAAGACTTTGGAATGGAGCGCAGCATTCCTTCCAGCGGTTCAGTCATGTTCAGGTTTGTTGAGGCACCCAAAATGCAGTAGAATGTTCGTTTCCTATAGCGCGAAGTGATCTGCCCTGAGTTGTGAAAGCACATTCCTTTGGATCACAAACGAGAGATATCAACAGTTTATCCTTTTTGGGGTCTGTGGATCCAAGAAGGACAGAAAACTAAGCACATGATATTACACGGTCCAGTGTCAAATCGAGTTGTAGCCGAAGCACTGTGTGTTGAGGATTGGCCTGGTGATAAAGTGTGAGATCCACTTAGAGCGAAATGGTTTTCTGATCATAAGAACGGGAACCACCATCGATCGCTTCATTCCCTTGTACCCTTTATGGCACCAGTAAAACGAGAGGCCAATGAAGCCGGCACTCCCAATCGCCTTTCGGTTTCTACCCTTGACTGTCAACACCAAATGGGTTTATACCCCGGCATTTCGCAAATGCCACCCGGAATAGTGGCACATCATATCAGGAGAAAACTCAGTTTCCATTACGCACGTCCAGAGCTGAGAGACAAATTTCAAGGATTGCAAGCGAGAACAAGAAGGGAAGCAAGAAGGGAGACAAAGGAAACGAAAGAGATACAAAAGGAGACAGAAGGGAGACAAGGCGGATGCGCCCAGGTACCGCCATGTCTGAGACCTCCAAAAACTCCTGTGACTTGGCACGCCGCAGCCATTGCAAAACCTGCTCACAGGCCACCAACTCTTCACCTGGCAAGGTCTGCTTCGTTGTTTCTTGGAAAGGAAGCTGAACTTGTTTGATCTTATTTGTTCCTTTGTTCCTTTTCTTGTGTTGGTTGGCACGTTTGCACCCAAGCCACGTCTGCACTGAAGAGGGGCGAGGACCTTGAGAGCTTCGCCTATCGCTGTTCACGAACCTTGTGTTGGGACCTTACGGGACCTCGCCGCTCCAGCTACATTGGTAGCGGAGCCATTCGGCTCAGGCTCCGTTGCCGCTCCACTGCGCTGCTCTCACTACAACCACATCAACGTCCACTACAACCTCAGTTACACCACTGTGGGCTCCTTTGGCCTGAAGGTCGATCTCTTTGGCAAGGATCTACGCTCCTTGAGGTATGGCCTTGGCGCGTTCGGCCAAGAAGGATGGTGTTCCAGCCAAGAAGGATGGTGTTCCAGAGTCCAGAGTTCACCTCATTCAAGGACTCCTACATCCCGCTCTTTGATGGCACCGCCTCTGGGTACAAGGGGTGGAGGAAGAGGAGCACGTGGTGGACCACCACAACGACTCATGACCGATGAGGGCAGGGGCTGGCTCTCCACCACCGTAGCGGGACACTCGCCCATGCAATGGGCGCTTGGCTACAGGCCTCAACTACCATGGGTTCGCCCGAAGAGATCACCCCAGAACACATCACTGACGGCACTTCCTGTGAAGGTCCTTGGCAGCAAGAGCTGCAATCATGGCTGCCGACGCGGACAGAAAGCTCCGTACGCCGCTATGTAATTATAAGTGGGCGCCAACATCCCCCTGCAAGCTGGTCAACCCTGCTGTTTCTGGCGTGACGCTGGTCAAGCCGATCTAGTAAAGATCAGACGACGCAGTCCGGCCACCGTCGTGATGGGGAGATGAATGAGGATCATCAACCTTCTGTGTACTGGGTGGTCAAGACTCAGCTGCTCAGGTTTTGGTGTGCGCCACACCATGCGCGATCTGACCCAGGCTGGCCCAGGGTAAGGAAGTTCGCATCCTCAAGAGCCGAGGGGTCACTCGGTACCACGACCTCACTCGCCTGAACAAGAGAAACCTTGACGACGTGGAGGAAGACGAACAAGCTGACGACATGGACTCCGACCAAGAAGAAATGTCAAAGGAAGCGAACTCAACGACAACGACAACTATGAGATGTCCAATCCTGAGGATCCTCCGGCGCCACCTCATACAGCGCAACAGCCTCCAGCAGACTTTCCGCAGCTCAAGGAGACGGGCTCACAGAATCACGCAATGAACCAACCGCGGAGGAGGCGGGAGGTGCCAATGGAGATCTGTCGAACGAGGCCCTGCCGCTGGCCGCTGGCTCAGCCCTCATCAGGCGCAAATTGGGCCCTGTCACTGCAGCCCGGTATAAAATCCAAGAGGGTGAAAGACTTCGGCTCGATTGACAGGAAACCCTCTCTTTCGGTTTTGGCCCACAAAGACGTAGTGGAGTGGCTGATCGTGAAGTCACTTCCTGAGAAGCGTTTGCGAAACACCGTCTATAAAACTGCAGATGGTCACTATAGGTCCGTCGCCCATGACTTCCGCGCTGGCACATCTCCTGACGCACAACAACCATTCCCAAAGCGATGGAGCGGCGTGACCATCTTCCAGATCAAGGCCGAGATGGGAAAGGAACTCGGCATGGTGGATTCATGAAAGGACCCACGACAGCGACCAGTACCTCCCAAAGGAGATGGCAAAAAATGAAAAGATTCAGAAGAAAGGGCAAGATAGCCTCTCAGAGAAGAACGCGCAAGGAGCTGAAGACGCGGCATCTGGACTTTCAGCGCCGAACAAGAAGCAGACCCTATAGCCGCGTCCTGACAAGCAGCCTCCTCAAGTGGACCAAAAACAACGATGGATCCCCGCACGCCACGACTTGTGGTCAGGGGATACTCTGATGTCAACGCACTTCAAGGAGATCTTGCTACAGCGAGTCCCACGACAATATCTACAATGGCAGGTCATGGCTTCTTTTCTTGTCGGCCATCCACAGATGGCACGGCTGGAGCACCGATGTCTCCACCGCATTCCTGGCGCCTTGGAGATACCTGGATGCCATTGCAGAGACAAGGGTGTTCCTGAAGAAGCCGTCTACGGACAACTAGACGCGCCAAGACGATGGTGGCTCGAAGCGCGCTGTCGGCTTCGTCAACTTCAATGGCAACAGAATCCCATGCACCCTTGCTTGTTCATGAGGAGATCGATGTCTCAAAGACACTGATCGGCCTGGTCTGTCTACACGTTGATGATCCCCTTGGCACAGGTGATATGTAACCAATCCCACATACCTCAAAGCTGAACTTCGTCAAGCCTTTCCCTTTAGAATGTGGGACACCGATGAAAAGGAGATCACCTACTGCGGGGCCGTTATCAAGCGCAACAACTTCCTTAGGTCAGGAGAATTGTGTCCACAAGGTGAAACCAATGACACTGCACCGTGGCCGTTCAGCTGAGCACGAGATAACAGAGCATGACAAATCCCAACTTCGGGCCTTGTTGGGCTCCATCCAGGGGCCTGCAGTCCAAACAACACCACACCTACAATGTAGCTGCAGCTTGATTTCCGGCAAGATGGCTCAAAACAAGCTCCAAGCCGTGGTCGATGACAACTCCCTCCTCCGCCTCGCGGAGCAAAATGCTGACACACAGCTCCAATACTAATACCAACCATTGAACGTGAAGGGCTACGATGATCTTCGATTGGTCACCATGCATGATCGACGCAGCTCACAGAGTGAGAGAAGACTGGAAGCTCACAAGGAGGCTTCCTGGTCAGGTTCCCAATGAGGCCTTCAACACTGAGACACCGTACCATGCGCTGGATTGGAAAAGCTTCAAGCTACCACCAGTGGCTTGAAGCAGTTTTGTCAGCAGAAGCTCAAGCTGCTGGTCAAGCTGCTGATGCTTCGGAGCTTCAATGCCTCTTAGAGCCAGACAAGCCTCTGAAGCAGATTCTGTCCACTAACGGCGTTGAGGCCGAAGCTGATCACAGATGCCAAGGCACTATACGACAGCTACCACAAGGAAGGCTGCGCATCGGCTACTTCAGTTGACCGCAGGACAAGGCTGGAGATTCGTGTGGCCAAAGAGCAGATGATGAGCATCATGAACTCTGCTAGATTTCCCGCGAACGGCAATACGCCGATGGACTCACCAAAGTGGCAACTCGAGGACTTCTCTCAGGCCGTTCGCGCTATGGCAAAGTCAAGCTTAGAGTCAAGCTTGTCTTGTCTACGACCCAGCCCATACTGCTGCAAAGAAGAAGACAGCTCAAGAGCGTGAGGCCAACCGCCTCGAGTTTGCTAGGAGTCCACCCACAACAACATCCACATCAACAGAACAACCACAACACACACCACAACATACCCAGGTCAGAGACCTACCCAGTGGAACTGAAGCGTGGAGAGATCCCCAACGATGGCGGCGTATACTATGTCAAGAACGCCCAGCGAATCATGTTGGCTTTGGTGGCTACGACGCAGCTCCAGGCAATACTATGGCTGATAACCCAATCATCACCCTTGCCGGTGGGAACACAGAGTTGGTCGAGATGCCCAACTAAAACTACCAGTTCACCCGGCCTATGAATTCCGAAGGGAAAACGCTTTTCACCCTGCTCGTGATTTTGTTTGTCATCGTGATGGTGTCTTTTTTTAGGTGGCTACTGGCTCGGTAGACCACGCCTTCACCTACAAGACCTGGCCCATCAGCAGAACACACCTATAGTCTAGGACGTCCAGTAGGCAGAAATCTGCCCACTCGACACAGTAAGCAGATTGAAATTTTATTCCCCCAAAAGTAACATGTATGCCAGTGGATTTCTGCTTATAGGGGGGGTGTTCATGGGATGCCTGACTTCCATCAAAATCTGCTTACTACTGGGTGTTTGAGAGCTGGAAAATGATAGGAACTAAAGATTACAAAAAAAATATCTGATGAAAGGCTGTGGCGGTTCCTGGGTCCTTGTGCCCTAAGCCTTGTTTTATGTAAACTTCTCAACCATTGGAAAGGTATTGCTTTGGCTGCTCTTTGCTTGAATGTTTGTGGTGCTTCAATAGAGGAATTCCAATGGTTGAGACTCATTGCAAGAAGACATTTGCTGACTCACCAGCTTTCCAGGTCCTAACAACAACCGGCCGCTGTTATAAGCAGAGTTTAAACTCTGCACCTGCTAACTGCAGCCCATACCCTGCACAAACACCTTGCCCCTAGTCCACTCTTGTTGTCCGGGCAGCCACTGCTGTAAGCAGATTGCAACCACCAGCTTGAATCTGCTTACTGCCGCACTCACATGCGATTCCGTTTTTCTCTCCCTTGTTCCCGGTGCTGATGCTGTTTTGAAAGACGACGCGCAGGCTTCTGGCCTCCCCCTCTTTGTACAAAGGTGTGAGGGGATGGCACTCCAGTTACTCTAACAAGAAAAGGCAACATGCTGTGCATATTTGTGGAAAACTATGTATTTGAACAAAAGGAAAAATATGTGCTTGAGACCAGAAGACAAGAAGACTGCTGGCATCACGCTTCTCATTCTGAATTCCTGGAATGAAATTAGTGGACCTGGGAAACTACAAAATGACACAATGTCTTTACCCAAGTCATCGGCGATGGCCATTTCCTGCGAGTGGATCTTAATCAGCGAAGTTTGAAGCTATCACTGACGGTCCATAAGCGGCGTAGCGTCGGAACGGAAACCGCACCTTTTCTAGTCGCTTGATCCTTGAGCCAAAGCACATATGGTACATGTATATGTACAAGTTGCACTGTACGTGTCGCTGCACTTCCATTCGCACCCCCCATGTGAACGGCAACAATATGTTCCGATCACACACGAAAATTTAGGGATGTAAGTGCTACAAAGAAATTGTATGATTTGCCGCGAGACTCATATGAGGCTCATACTACGAAACATGCTGGACTAAAGCGGACTTTTACATATAAAGTGTGCAACTATGGCTCAGAACCTATGAAAATCGAATTGAACAAGTGAGAC